TCATCTAGTCGGCAAGACATTGCCTGACAGTCGTACTGTGACAGGCACAATATTGCCAGATAATCGTAGTGCGGCAGACACAACATTGTCTGCCAGTGATTATACGACAGGCCTGGTATTGCCAGATAGTCGTGCTGTGACAGACACAATATTGCCTGATAGTCGTGCTGTGACAGACACAATATTGCCAGATAGTCGTGCTGTGACAGGAACAATATTGCCAGATAGTCGTGCTGTGACAGGAACAATATTGCCAGATAGTCGTGCTGTGACAGACACAATATTGCCTGATAGTCATGCTGTGACAGACACAATATTGCCAGATAGTCGTGCTGTGACAGGAACAATATTGCCTGATAGTCGTGCTGTGACAGACACAATATTGCCTGATAGTCGTGCTGTGACAGACACAATATTGCCTGATAGTCGTGCTGTGACAGACACAATATTGCCTGATAGTCATGCTGTGACAGACACATTATTGCCTGTTAGTCGGGCTGTGACAGGCACACTAGTGCCTGATACTCGTGCTGTGGCAGACACACTAGTGCCTGATCGTGATGATGATGATGCAAAGACCAGGTTGTTTGATAGTGATAACATGCCAGGTGCTACGTGGCCCCATGTCGATGATATGCGGAGCAGCAAATCGCCTTGGAGAGACAAGAAGGGCGATTCCACGCTATACGAGGGCGACAGTAAGACGGACTCCGCGCAGCTTGGTGGTGATGGCGCAGCAATGCCATCTATAGGCACGCGCATGCCAAGCACTGAGCTTCTAGATGATGTTTGGCCGGATGAACACGCAGCAACAGACGCTTCAACAGCTGACACATCTGCGGATGATGACATGAAGACAGCCGCAACTAAGAATAATGCAGCAGAGTTTAGCGTAACGAATCAGCCTAATGAAGATGGCTTTACTTCCTACATACAACAGAAAACCGGGACGAAAGTAGAAGAATATATATTAGAGACATCTGACGAAGATCTAGAGCGACCACGAATAACAGAGAGTACAGTCGCCACACAGACTGAACTGGTAAGTAGACATCGATCAAAGAGGACGACATCGGAAAATGACAATAGGAGCCAACCAGAGCGCGTCATTTCTGATATGGTAACAGATGAAGCCACGTTTACTGATCATGGTAGCGTAGTTACAGCGCACAACTACACAACAATTCTGCCGTTCACTGACATGCAAAACATAAACAACCAAACCGATGGAAAAGAGCTTGTTGCTGGCCAAGGAACCGATAACGAGGAATCTTATACTAATTACAGTGCTCACACTAAAGAATTGTTAGCATCCGAGTCTGTAACTGCTGTAACTGTGGAAAGCCTCGCAATTGAACCATTTATTGCGGAGGATGATAGAAATATTACGAAAGAAATTAAAGCTGAAGAGTCATTGATTTCGGAGCAAGGCGAAATTATTTTACAAAATCTCAAAACTATTTCCTATACTGCCGATGAGGGTAGTATCAAGCTGGGCAGCACAAAGTCATTCACGGCAGAGGAAACTAATAACACCGTGAACAACGATACCGACGAACCATTCGTTGCTGAAATTGGTGCAATTACTGCAGTCAATCTGACGCCCTCACAATTACCTAATGTTGGCGATAGCATTGTCACTGCACAGAATGTGGTCAGAACTGATGAGGCATCTTCTGCAGAAGAAGACAATATTACTACAGATAAATTCATACCAGAAATGCAATTTACTCGCGCGAAACGCATTCACACCATTGAGAGCCAAACAACTATGATACCGGGTGATGTCACCAATACGGTAAAACCATCAAACAGCAAAGTTTCGTTTAGTGCTAAAGCCGGTGATATTACCGCGACTAATCTCACGACCACCGAGACATCTACTGATGTGGAGGGCAGTAAACTCTTGCCAGTCCCCAAATCCGACGAGACATTTACCACCAAGGAAGATAATAGTACAGCCGCCAGCCCTCCGATGACGCAGGAAGAATATACCGCCGCCAAAGGAAATAATGCTACGGACAAATTCACTACTGTACGGCCATTGAGGGTTGGGGACCGCGATGATATCTTGGAACACTTTGCGACCAAAGAGAGGTTTAGTGATGACGATGGTGGTAACACTCGGGACAGTCTCGGAAACACAGACCTCGTCCGTACTGAAGTTGATAACGTAACTATCGATGATCGATCAACCGAACAGGCATTCCATGGTGAAGAAGTTAATAAGACCAAAGACAAATTTACAAGTGAACGACCCCTAGTGACGTCTATCGGCGAAACAGACAATACAATGTACAAACTCACACCTGAAGAATCACTTACTGCTCAAGATGGTGATAATTTCACAGCTAACTTCGATACTAAGTGGACAACTGAAGTGGGCAGTAACACAGTAGAGAACCCTACAACAGGAGATACCGACACTGTAGATGATAATAATAGAACCGTGGTAAACATCTCAACTAAAGAGCAATTTTCCGCCGAGGTGGATAAAACAACGAACAACCTCATAACGATCGAACCATTTACTCAAGATCATATTAATAATACTGATGATAGTTCGAAAACTAAATGGTCAATAACCTCTGAAGTCGGTACCATTACTGCTACGGATACCCTTATAACAGAAATACCATATACTCCTGAAAAACGCAATACCACTGCAGATGAACCCATAACTCACAAACCATTTGCTGCTGAAGTGGGTAATACTACTCTAGGTGACGTTACAACTGATCATTCACGTGCTACTCGGAAGGACAAAGGGACCGTAAATAGTCTGATCGGAGGTCAGCCATTTACCTCTGATTACAGTCGAGACAACAGAGTATCTGACAACACTATAGCAACACCTACATCCGGACAGTCGGCCGAGGAGAGATATAATACCATAGAAAATCTGACGACAGAACACACGACTCCTGTTGAGAGTAATGACGCTGTAGGCACGTCATCCCAATTTACTACTGAAAATGGTAATGATGTAATGCATAACCGTACAGCTGGAGTAACATATGACGCAGATGCAGGTTATAGTACCCGGAATATCCGTACAGTGGAAGCTTCACTTACAGCTGAGGGTAACAAGAACACGGCTACAGCGCAAGGGCCGCGTAATACTGAACGTGACGAAAGATCTACTGCCATCTTTACATCTCCAGAGCGATTTACTGCTGAAGGGAGTGATGACACTATGGATAGACTTGAGACAGAGCGGCCATTTTCTACTGAATTCGATACTAATACAACAGTCGATCTAACGGTAGAGCAATCGGTTACAGCTGAGAGCGATAATAACACCACCGCCAGCCTCTCAACTGAGAAGACATTTACCACCGATGCTGGAGATATCAATATGGACAACATCAAAAGTACGAGCCCATTTACTTCTAAAGTAAATCCTGATGAAATGTACAGCATTGAAACAGGGCAGCCAGTTACTGCTGAAAATGGCGATACCGGTATGTCCAACGACTCCATTAGAGAGTCATATCCTGTCGAGGTTGGTAATAATACTATGGGCGAGCTCACAACACAAACGCCATTGACTGTTGAAGATGGCTACAGTGACGTCCATAGACCTATAACCGAACAGCTACCTGAGCTTGAGGATGATAATACTAGTATGGACCGCCTCACCACCGAACAACCATTTACTGTGAATGCTGGTAATAATGATATGGGCTACCTTACAGACGCAGATCCGTCTAGTGCGGAGGGCGCTGATGTGCCTGCCGTCTCCCGTTCACCTAGTGAGCCATTTACCGATAGTGCTAATAATGTGAACAACATAACAACTAAAGAGCAAGTTGCTGGTGAGGATGAGACTATTACTGTGTTAAATTCTACAGCTAAGGAAGCATTTACTATTGAGAAGCCTAACGTAACATTCGACTATCGCACGACCGATCAACCATTCCCAGATGGGGAAAGCAATACTACTATCCTCGACCTGACATCTGAACAGCCGTATATTTCAGATGCTAGTGATGATAATAGCTTGAAAAGCCGCCTAACTCAAAGGGCATTCACTGTTAGGGATAGTAATACGAATATGGTCCACCCGATACCCGAACAGCCATTTATTGTTGAGAATGGTAGTAACGCCACAGACCGCCTCGTAACCAATATGTTATCCGCTGCTAGTCATGGTCATAACATTACAGGCCACCTCACAACCGATCGAGGATCTGTCGTTGTTGGTAACGACACGACGTATAGCCACATAACTCGTGAGTCACTGCCTGCTGCAGTTAATAGTGCGATGCAAAATACCACAACCTCGGAAGCAGTGACCGTTGAAGATCGTAACGTGACCACGAACATCCGCGCAACTGAAACCCCACATACTGCCGAGGTTGGGAAAGATACGACGGTTACAACAGCAAACACAGACCTGCTTACTACCGAAGAGGATGGTGATAGTAATGTGGACCGCATCACAATCGAACAGCCAATTGTTACTGAGGCTCGTAACTTCAGCGTGTCAAGTTTCCCGACCGACCATGCATATACCTCTAGGAACGACAGCGATGCTATGGAGAGCCTCACAACTGAAGAGAAACTTACTGCCGATGTGGGCAATAGTACGACGAGTACCCGCATAACTAATCAGAAAGTTACTGCTGAAGAAACTAATAATAACACCCTGCTTCCTCTCGGTCCCATAACTGAAAAACAATTTACAGATGACGATGATAATGATGCTACGGATAACTTCGTAGGCAATATCACCGTAACATTAATGACGGGTGTAGAGCCACAAACCACAGCCGCAATTCCGATCATTGAAACCGTGACGACAACAGCACCAAGATTGCTAGCAGAATCAGCAGTAGTGAAAAATAAAGGTTTAGCAACAACAACAAATACATCAGTGAAACAAAAGTTAACAGAGCAAGACATAGATGTCGCAATATTCACAATAACAGATTCAAGCGCAAATCGTACAACAGACGCATTGACAGTGTCATCACTACTAGTAGAAACTGGAAGGGGTGATTCAGCAATGACAACAGAGGAAAAAACGTCAACAGCAAGAGCAGACGTAGAGAAATCAATAGAAGCAGCAACAGACGTAACGGTAGCAATTGTGAAGGGAAATAAGACAGTAGGACCCAGTTTGGTAGAGCAACCAACAGCCGTATTAGAGTGGACAGCAGAAACAGTCACAGAGAAAACGACAGACGCAACAGAAAGCATAACAGAAACTACATCAGCACCTGAGGCAGCAACGGGGGTAGCAGCAGCAGAAGCACACGAAACAACTGTGTCATTGGAGATGATATCAGCAACAATCATAACAGGTGACGATACAACAACACCAGCGATTGAAACGCCCGCTATCACTACATCAGAAAAGGAAAGCGCAATGCCTGTAATGGATACAGCTTTAACAAAAGCCACATCGGATGCGATAGCCGCAACAACTCCAGGTGAGAGATCGATCGAAACAACGTTAGACACAATGCCAACAGTAGCGAAATTGACACCTAACGAATCAGCAGCGCCTGTAGCAGCAGTGACCGAACAAGGTACGGGAATGATGACAGCGGGAACAATTCCAGGAAAAACATCAAACGAACCGAGCCCGACATTAGCAGACGAAATGCCAGTCGCGGCAACGATATCGGTGGAAACTACAGCATATACAACGCCAGAAGATTTGCTAGCGTCAGCGGTATATGAGGAAGAAAAAGCTGGGTCAAAACTAGCAACATCCGCAGCAGACGAAAGCACGGCAAATGAAACAGTAGAAGGTGCGGAAATAACAGCAGCAACGCCAGATGGTGTAACTCCGTATGACGTGACAGTAACATCAACAACAACGACGACATTATCATCATCATCATCATCATCATCATCATCATCATCATCATCATCATCATCAACAACAACGTTATCATCAATAACAACAGCAACAACAACAATATTAGACGACATAACATCAGCACCACCACTAGCCGAGACACCTAAACCTATAACAATAGACAGCATAACCTTAGCGCCAATAGCAGACAACATAAAATTAGCAGCAACAATACACGACACAACACCAGCAACTAGCTCCAACAACACGACATCGACACGCGACGCGCAATCAGTCATATTTACTGACAACACAACGACACCAATGACCACAGACAAGGTAATAACAGCGACACCGCCAGACAACACAACACTAGTAACAACATCATTCCCCACGCCAGTAGCAATTACAGAAGACTCAACAGCAGTCAGGACTCTAGCCAACACAGCGAAAAAGAAATCCACACACAACACGTTGACAACTACAAGTACGATTGACACGCAATCAGAATCAACAGAAGATAACACATCAGTGGAAACAGTGGAAACAAACAAAACAAACGTAACAATCGCAGAAAACACTACGATACATACACCATCAGACAACTCAGCAATAGCAGAAACAATCTCAAACAGCACAACTACAGCAGTAACATCAGCCAACTCAACAATAACAGTAACAACATCAGACACTACGACAAAAGCAATAACATCAGACAACACGGCAACACCACCAATAATAGAAGACCCAACAACAGCAATTCCAGTCAACAAGGAAACAGTAAAACTCCAGTCTGACATGACGGCAGCGACAGCATTTTACAACACAGCAGTACGAACAATCACAGACGAAATATTAGCAACAGATGTAACCACAGACAACACGAAAACCGCAACAGATACAGATACAGGTAACATTACTGCAATATACACAGACGACATGACAACAACAACAACAACAAGTACAACCACAGACAACACAACAGCCGCAACTGCCATTTACAACACAACAGCACCAACAATTACAAACAACACAGTAACAGATATACACAGGGACGTCATAACAACAGCGACGGCACTACACAACGCAACAGTAGAAATAACAACAGACAACTACGCAAAAGCAAACACAACAAGCAGCACAGCAGCAGCAGCAGCAGAAGCAATCATCACGGATAACACGAAGGCAATCATAACAACACAAGGCTCTACAAATACAGTTACGGCCTCATCGGACGCGCTAGCAATAACCACAACAGATAGCACAACCGCAGACACACCCGCATATAACGTCACAACGGTAACCACGTTTACGGGTGACGTAACAACAGTAACAGTTCTACATGATACAATAACAGCAACGTTAGGGGTAGACGTGATCGGGGTTTCAACAGCAGATCTAGACAGCACAACAACAGCAAAAGCAGCACACGATACAATGGCGTTAACAATTACAGAAAACACAACCGCAACTGCAACCGTCGTCAACATTTCATCTGCAACGGACAAACTTCACACGTCATTAGCAACAAACTTATACAACACAACGACAAAAACTACTGCTAGTAACTCAACAGCGGATACAGTTACAGCCGCAGAAACAGTCGTGCACAATATCACAGCGGCTGCATCTGATAATAACTTAACAACACAAGCAATGACGGATAAAACAGTAACGACTAAACTTTTAGACAAGCCTACAGCTGCAACAATTCTAGAATACCCACCTTCGTCAGAGACCACAGAAAATATAACGATAGAAATGACCACAGACGGCACAACAACAATTGCAACCGCAGACAACACAACAAGAGCAACAACATTATACAACACAATAACCCCAACAATCACAGATGACGTAGCAACAGCTCCAATCACAGACAACACTACAACAGAAACAACATTATACAACAGAACGGCTCCAACAGTCACAGACGACGCAACAACAGAGACAACTACAGACAACATAACAACTGTAACATCCACAGAAAACATAACAACATCAGAAAGCTTATACAACGCAACAGCGCAGACAGAGACATATGAAGTAACAACAGACAGAACCACAGAAAACACAGCAACCGCAACAGACTTTTACAACAACACAACGGCACCAATAATCAGAGACAAAACAGAAATGGACACAACCGCGTACAATACAACAACCACACAAACTATAGACAACATAACAACAGCAAGAGATACAACCACAGACAACGCAACATTAAAAATAACCACGGATGACACGACAGCACCAATAGCCTTTTACAACACAACAGGACTGACAATTCCGGACGAAATAGCAACAGACACAACCATAGGCAACACAACAACCGCAACAGATACAGCTACGGACAAGAGTACTGCAATATCTATAGACAACTTAACAACAACAACAGCTTTTCACAACATAACAGCACAAACAATCACAGGCAACATAACAACAGACATAACCACAGACAGCACAACAACCGCAAGAGATATAGCTACAGGCAACATTAGTGAAATAATCACAGACAACACCACAACAGTTACAACTTTATACAACACAGCAGCACCAACAATAACAGACGACACAGCAAAGGATACAACCACAGATAACACAACAATAGAAGGCAACATAGCAACAGACACGAGCACAGACAGCACAAAAATCGCAACAGATACAGATATGGGCAACATTAATGCAATAATCACAGACAACACCACAACAGAAACAACCTTATACAACACAACAGCACCAGCAATAACAGGCGACATAGCAACGTATGCAACCACAGACAACACAACAATAGAAACAATCATATATAACAACATAACAAAAGCACCGACAATTATAAACGACACAACAACAGACACAGCCAATGGTAATAGAACAACCGAAATAGCTCTAGGCAACATAACTGCAGCAACATTGCTATACAACACAACACCAGCAACAATCGAGGACGAACCAGAAACAGAAATAATTCTAAACAACGCAACAACAGCAGCGAATACAACTACAGACAATACAATAACCGCAATACCCATAGACAATACAACAAAAGCAACCTTTAACAACACAACAACATCAACAATGACAGGTGACACAGTAACAGATGCAACCACAGACAACACAACAATTTTAAGAACAACAGCCAACATAACACCAGCAACAGACTTTTACAAAATCACAGCACAAACGATCAGCGACGACACAACAGCAGTAACAACCCTAGAAAACAAAACAACACCAACAACCTCATACACCACAATAGCACCAACAATCGTAGTCGACACAGCAACAGATACAACTACAGATAATACAACAACGGCAATAACCACAGACGACATAGTAACAACAAGCACAGCAACAACAAAAACAACATTACACAACACAACAGCTTCAACAATTACAGATGGTACAACAACAGATACAGCGACATACAACACGACAACAGCAACAGATAAAGCTAAAGGCAACATTACTGCACTAACCACAAGCAACACAACAACAACAGCCTTTTACAACACAACAACACCAACAATCACAGATGAAATATCAACAGACACAACCAAGCACAAAACAACTGCAACAGATACAGATATAAGTAACATTACCACAATAACCACAGACAACATAAAAACAGCAAGTTCGATTTACAACACAACAACTCCAACGATCACAGACGACGTAACAACAGGCACAACGACATACAACACAGCAGCCGCAACAAATATAGCTACAGGTAACATTACTACAATAATCACAGGCAACATAACTATAGCAACTGTCCTTTACAACACAACAGCTCCAACAATCACAAACGTTACAACAATCTCAACAGATAAAGCCACAGACAACATCACTACAATAATCACAAGCAACACAACAGCAGCAACAGCCTTTTACAACACGACAGCGCCAACAATCCCCGACGAAATAGCAACAGACATAACCACTCACAAAACAACAACGGCAACAGATACAGCTACGGGCAACATTACTACAATAACCATAGACAACACAGCAACAGAAACAGCCTTTTACAACACAACAGCACCAATAATCACAGACGAAATGGCAACAGACATAATCACGTATAACACTGCAACTGCAATAAGTACAGATAACACAACAACTGAAATAGTCACAGACAGCATACCATCAATAGTCTTTCACAACACAACAGCACCAACAATCATAGACGATACAGCAACAAACACAACCGCAGACAACACAACAATCGCAATAAGCACCGTCGACATAGCAGCAACAACAGCAGCAGCAACAACAATATTATACAACGCAACGGTTCCAGCAATTACAGAAGACACAACAACAGGTATAACAACATACAACACAACAACCTCTACGGAAAAAGCTACAGACAACATTACTGCAGCAACCACAAGCAACACAACAACATCGGCAACCTTTTACACCACAACAGCCCCAACATTCACGGACGAAATAGCAACAGACACTACGAGAAACAACGCAACGACCAAAACAGATACAGCTGCAGACAACATTACTGCAATAATCACAGACGATACAACCATAGCAACAGCTTTTTACAATGTAACAGCACCAACAACGGCAACAGATACAGCTACAGACAACATTACTGCAATAATCACAGACGATACAACTATAGCAACAGCTTTTTACAATGTAACAGCACCAACAACCGCAACAGATACAGCTACAGGCAACATTACTGCAATAATCACAGACGATACAACCATAGCAACAGCTTTTTACAATGAAACAGCACCAACAACCGCAACAGATACAGCTACAGACAACATTACTGAAATAATCACAGACGATACAACCATAGCAACAGCTTTTTACAATGTAACAGCACCAACAACCGCAACAGATAGAGCTACAGGCAACATTACTGCAATAACCACAGGCAACACAACAGCTATTTACAACACAACATCACCAACAATCACGGACGAAATAGCAACAGACAACAAATCAAGTATATGACAAAGCAACTGCACCAATAAGTACAGCATAACGCCAACAGCTGCAATAACCACATGACAGAATAGCAAACAGCAATAAACCCACAGACAACACAAATCAATAGTCTTTACAACACAACAGCACCAACAATCGCAGACGATACATCAACATATACAACCACAGACAACACTACAATCGCAACCACAGGCGACATAACAACAACAACAACAACTGTACAAAACAAGCAAGCACTTCAGATATCACCAGACGACACAACAACAGACACAACGACAGACAGCACAACAACATCAACAGATACAGCTACAGGAAACATTACTGAAATAACCACAGTAACAACACACAATATCAAAGCTAAGCGAGCATTTTACAAACACACAGCTACCAAAATCAACAGACCGACAATTAGTCAACCAGGCATAATGCACAGACCCACAACAAACACCGCAACGGATAAGCCTACAAGGACAACATTACTAAATAACCACAGACCAACACAAACAGCACCAGCAATTCCCACACAGACCGAAATTGCAAGAGGCACAACGCCAGACAACACACAAACACCAGCAACGCGATACAGCTACAGGAAACATTACTGAAATACCCAAGACAACACCAACAATAACAGCATCAGGCGAAATTTTACAAACACAACAGCAGACCTACAAAACCAGCGAAACGAAATAGTAACAGACATTAATCGACAGACCAACACAACAACATCCAACAGATACAGTACTCAGGAGAACGATTACTGAATATACACAGCAGCAACACAACAGCACCAACGATTCAGCAGGACGCAAATAGCAAGAGGCACACAACGCCAGACAAACACAACAATCGCGCAACGGATACCAGCTGACAGGTGAACAATTGTACTGAACATTACACCTACAGCACAACACAACAATAAAACAGCGGCGAAATTTTACAACACAAACACGCACTACAACACAGAACGAAATAGTAACAGACATAATGACAGACAAACACAACAACCATCAAGATACAGCTACAGGAAACATTACTGAAGATAACCACAGACAACACAACACATAACACACGGAGGCAGTTTTACAACACGAAACAGCAACTACAATCGACAGACGAAATGATCAACAGGCATACACGCCAGCGACACGACAACACAACAACCGCAATGGATACACGCTACAAGGAACATTATCTGAAATTACCACAGGACAACACCAACAATACACAACCAGGCGACATTTTACATAATCACAACAGCAACCTACAACACAGGACGAAATAGTATAACAGAACATAATGGACAGACAACACACAACATTACAACCAGATACAGCATCAGGAAACATTCACGTGAAATAAGCACAGACAACACAACTCAGATAAACAACAGGAGCATTTAGCATACACACAGCCACTACCAATCACAGAGAAAATAGCCAAACAGACAGCAAGGCACAGGACAACACCAACAACATCAACAGATACAGCTACAGGAAACATTACTTGAAATACCCACAGACAACACAACAATAACAACGGCGAATTTTACAACACAACAGCACCTGACAAACACTCAGACTGAAATAGTAAACAGACATAATGACAGACAACCACAAACAACAATCACAGAATACAGCTACAGAGAAACATTACTGAAACTAACCACAGACAACACAACAGCACCAACCGATCACAGACGAAAATTAGCATAAGAGGCACACACGCCAGACAAGCACAAACAAATTCGCAACGGGATTACAGGCTACAGGCAAACATTACTGAAATACCCACACGGACAACACACACATAACACACAGTCCGCGATTTAACAACACAACAGCACTCCTAACACACCAGACGAAATAGTAACAGACATCAATGGACAGACAACACAACAACATCAAACGCAATACAGCTACATGGAAACAATTACTTGAAATAACCAAGGACAACACAACAATAACACCAGGGAACATTTTACAACACAACAGCACCTACAAATCACAGACGAAATAGCAACCGACACTAAGACAGACAAACACAACAACATCAACATTTACAGCTAAGGAAACATTACTGAATTAACCACAGACAACCACAATACAATTCAACAACAGTCTGCGAATTATTACAACCACAACCAGCACCTTACACACACAGACGAAATAGTAACAGACATATCATTGACCAGAACACAACAACTATTCAACAAGATTTACAGGTACAGGAAACATTACTGACAATAACCACAGCAACGACAACATACACCAGGAACATTCTTTACAACAAACAACAGCACCTACCAATCACAGACGAAATAGCAAACAGAGACACCAAGGACAGACAACAACCAAACAACATCAAACAGTATACAGCTACAGGAAACATTACTGAAACTAACCACCAGACAACACAACATAACAAACAGGAGCATTTTACAACACAACAGCACCACAATCACAGGGACGAAATAGCAAACAGACACAAGGACAGACAACACAACAACCATCAACAGATACAGCTACTGGAACATTTACTGAAATAACCACAGACAACACAAACAAACAACAAGAGCCTTTATTTCAACACAACAGCCCTACAATCACAGACGAAATTGCAACAGGCATATACTGCCAGACAACACACAACCGCCAACGGATACAAGCCTACAGGAAACATTATGAAAATTTACCCACAAGCAACACAACAATAACAAACGTGGCAGCATTTTACAACACAACAGCGCACTACAATCACAGTACGAATAGCAAACAGACACGTATAGGACAGACAACACAAACAACCGCAAACGCGATACAGCTACAGGAAACATTACTGAAATAACCACCAGACAACACACAACAATAAAACAACAAGAGCCTTTATCAACACAACAGCACCTACAATCACAGACGAATTCACGCAACAGGCATAACGCAGACAACACAACCACCGCAACGGATTACGCCTACCAGGAAAACATTACTGAAATACCCACAGACACAACAATAACAACAGGTGAGCATTTTACAACACAACAGCACCTACAATCACAGACGAAAAGCAACAGACACAAGAACAGACAACACAAACAACGCAACAGATACAGCTGCCAGGAAACATTACTGAAATAACCACAGACAACACAACAATAACAACAGGAGCATTTTACAACAACAGCACAACAATCACAGACGAAATCAGCAACAGGCATAAACGCCAGGACAACACACAACAACCGCAATGGATACAGCTACAGGAAACATTACTGAAATACCCACAGACAACACAACAATAACAACAGTCTGCGAATTTTTACAACACACAGCACCTACAAAACACAGACGAAATCAGTAACAGACATAATGACAGACAACACAACAACATCAACAGATACAGCTACAGCGAAACATTACTGAAATAACCACAGACAACACAACAATACAACAGGAGCATTTTACAAACCACAACAGCACCTACAATCACAGACGAAATAGCAACAGACACGAAAGAACAAACACACAACAACCGCAACAGATACAGTCTGCAAGGAACCATATACTTGAAATAATCACAGACAACATAACAATAACAACAGCAGCAACCTTTTACAACACAACAACACCTACAATCACAGACGAAATAGCAACAGACACAACGACAGACAACACAACAACTGCAACAGATACAGCTACAGGAAATTACTGAAATAGCCGACAGACAAACACAACAATAACAACAGGAGCATTTTACAACACAACAGACAGCCTACAATCACAGACGAAATAGTCAACAGACACAACGACAGACAACACAACAACTGCAACAGATACAGCTACAGGAAACATTACTGAAATAGCCACAGACAACACAACAACTGCACCGACCATTGACAACATAACAGCACCGATAATCACAGACGAAATAGCAACAGACACAATCAAGTATGACACAGCAACTGCAATAAGTACAGATAACGCAACAGCTGCAATAACCACAGACAGCATAGCAACAGCAAAAGCCACAGACAACACAACATCAATAGTCGTTTACAACACAACAGCACCAACAATCACAGAGGATACATCAACAGATACAACCACAGACAGCACAACAACCGCAATAACCACAGGCGACATAACAGCAGCAACAGACTTTCAAAAAATCACGACACCGACAATCACAGACGTCACAGCAACAGTAACAACCCTAGAAAATATAATAACAGCAACAATTTCATACACAACAACGGTGCCAACAATCACAGACGACATAGCAACAGTGACAACCCTAGAAAATATAACAACAGCAACCATTTCATACACAACAACAGTGCCAACAATCACCGACGACACAGCAACAGCCCTAGAAAATACAACAACACCAACAACCTCATACACCACATCAGTGCCGACAATTACAGACGACACAGCAGCAGATGCAGCCACGTACGATACATCAACCGCAATAACCACAGACAACGCAATAGCGACAATCCGTTACAATACTACAGCCATGGTCTTTTACGACACAACACCGTCAACAATCACAGACGACACAGCAACAGATATAGCCACAAAATCTACAGCAACCACAATAAGCACAGAAAACACAACGTCAGCAACAACCTCATACAACACAACAATAGCAACAACGCAACACAACACAGTAGCACCAACAACCACACACAAATCTGCAACGGCCACAACTTCAGGCGACACAGCGATACGAACCAGCCCATACATAACAGTAGTAACAATAACCACAGACAACTCAACAACAGCAGCAACCCCACTTAAAACAATCGCACCTATACTAACGGACGACGCAGTAACAGCATTAACTCCAGACAAAACAACAGCCCAAGGAAACACAACTACCGATGACACACAAGTAACAAACCAGTACTACACAACAACAGTCGCACCCCTAGAAGACACAATAACAACAACAACAACAACAACAACAACAACAACATCATCAACAATAAACATAATAGCAACTACCCTACCGTCAATAGAAACGACGATAACACAGGGCAGCAGAACAGAAGCAACCACTCCTGGCCACACCTTGCCACCATCAATTTCAAAGGACACGACGACCGTGGACACGAATGACGCTAAAACATCAGCAGCAGCATCATACGACTCAACAATAATAGCACACGGAGATGAAACAACTACAGAAACAGCTACAGGTGACACGACGGCATCAACAACAACCGATGGTGCGAGTTTAACAACTGAATCAACTGCTCGAACAACGGGACATACTTCTATAAACACGAGCTCATCTTTGGAGCTGACTTCACCTACGATACCAGACACAGAAGATTCTACGACGACAAAAAGTACAACGTTATTACCGTCATCAATAGAGCCTACCCTCAACACTAGTCTGGAGTATATGCCCTACTGGATACACACAGGTGAGTGATCATGAACAACCGGTTTGTTCTCTAACCCTGTTACCATTAGTCGCATTGCCTTCTAGATTTTCTTTGTGTCATCCGCACAACATTAATCCGATTAAATGTGATTGGGTAACGTTGTTGATGGCCAAATGATTCATATAAATAATTTAGTGTTATGGAAAGTTCTGGTGCGTGCAAAGTAGGTCGGCCAATCTGATACACGAGGCGTCGCAATGATTTATTTATGACAGTGAATGGGGCAATGCTTTCCGTGACGCCGCATTATTTAGCTTCTCTAATGTCAGGGCGCTTGAAATCTGATACGAACAATCGGACGAACTGCGTGCGCTAGCGCTAAAATGTCGCGTCTGTGCCGCCAGAAATCCTCGTCCCATTCGAGGAAGAGGTGCACACCGCGGCGTTTCAGCTACGCATGGAAGAGCGATTGGCTCGAGCCTACCACAAGGCTCTCCGGAAGAGGACGAAGCGGTCGAGACGTGTTATTGGCGCCAGGTTCCGACGCGCTGCTCACTACAAAGAAACTGCTGTGCAGGTAGGTTTGCTCGTTTCTTTGAGCCCGCCAGTGGTTTCTGAAAGATTTACTATACATACAAAGCCCGACGACCTTACACTTTCTTGTACCTTACGTTTGGTTTAATCTGCAACGGCTAGGAACGAACTCCTGTTTCTAATGTTGCATTTTATTCGTTAACTTTACACTCCGGTGAGGAGGTCAGGAAAGTCGCGCAGCGGAAACACTGCTGAAGACAATATGATAATGACCGAACTAATATCGTCATTGCAACGCTTTCAGAAATCAAATAGTACAGGTGAACAAGAACCTAGCAACGATATCCATGTAGGTTTTATATTTTAGCGATCCCGTGTACTTCACCGTGCTGTGCCGTGCCGTACTTCTATTTTTGCTGTGCTGTGCCGTACTGTGCTGTGCTGTGTTGTGCCGTACTGTGCTGTGCTGTGCCGTACTGTGCTGTGCGTGCCGTACTGTGCGTTCTGTGCTGTGCTGTGTTGTGCCGTACTGTTGCGTGCTGTGCTGTGCCGTGTTGTGCCGTACTGTGCGTGCTGTGCTGTGCTGTGCTGTGCTGTGCTGTGTTGTGCGTGCTGTGCGTGCTGTGCCGTACTGTGCGTGCCGTACTGTGCCGTACTGTACTGTGCGTGCCGTACTGTGCCGTACTGTGCTGTGCTGTGCCGTACTGTGTTGTGCTGTGCTGTGTTGTGCGTGCTGTGCGTGCTGTGCTGTGCTGTGTTGTGCCGTACTGTGCGTGCTGTGCTGTGCTGTGTTGTGCCGTACTGTGCGTGCCGTGCCGTGCTGTGCTGTGCTGTGTCGTGCCGTACTGTGCTGTGCTATGTTGTGCTGTACTGTGCGTGCTGTGCTGTGCTGTGTAACACTACATTTAGGCCCACACTGTTTGTGTTGTTCTTAGATAAATAAAATATATATATATATAATATAACCCTTGAGGTAACATTTATGATGAAGTACTTTTACGTATAGTGATACAATGCTCTCTATCAACTCCGCTAGTAATAAGGGCCGGACACACTAGGCGATTAAATCGTGCGACTAAATTAATTAAATTAACACTATTAAACCCGCGTGTGCACGTACACGTGCGTGCATGAGTCTGTGCGTGCGTGTGCTCGTACACATGCGTGCGTGCGTGCGTGCATCGCTATTACATGACATGACATACTAAACATGAAACATCGCTATTACATCAGTATCATTCAACAACTCTGATTGGCTGATGAATTGTACAATCGGGCGATTTTATCGCCGGCCCCGGACACACTAGGCGATTAAATCGGGCGACTAAATCGGGCGACAAAATCGCCCGATAACATCAAAACGTTTTGATCTATGCGATGAAATCGGACGACGAAATCGGGCGACTAAATCGGCGGCGATTGAGTGGACACACTAGGCGATTTCACGGCGATTTTGTCGCCCGATTTTATCGCCCGATTTAATCGCCTAGTGTGTCCGGCCCTATAACGAGGTGATATATATCGAAATTCTCTCGTTAACATGCCTTCATCTACATATACACCATGCGCTAAGCAGCAATTTGTAAGGTTGTCAAAATTTGTAGAAGTACTTGTAATACAACACAAGTTAGTATTGATACTTACCTAGATGATTGAATAATTTCATCGGATCTCTATAGTTCACATGCTAATAAAGTTTATCGTAATTTTTAACTTAATTTGGATCTAACTGAGATAAACGTTATTAGCATTTATACTTACCGTTTGCACGCTAACATATGCAGATGGTCAACACAGTGAGGCATACAGGAGAGCAGCGGGTCACGCTCGTATATCACGTGGAGCTGCAAGGGAAGCCAGTTCTCGCCAAGGATGCTGTGGCCACGATGAATCGACTCGATATTCAACAGCTGGCCATAATTCTAGGATACGTGGTTGTCCTGCTTGCCGAACGTGAGTAATCGGTTAAATGGCGGCAACACAAGACGCAGTAACCATGACAATGCTTCAAACAGCAGCAAGCGACAGCCTCGAGGACGAAACAGTGTTAGTATAATTATGTAACTCACATTTTTTTCTTTCTCTTGTTTTGTTCCTCATCGTAGCATTTACCGTGGAGAGTGAGCCCGAACGAGATGAGCCGCAGTATTGGTTGATTGGAGTCATTGTAGGCGCAGTCGTGGCTCTTGCTTTCATCATCTGGTGCTCTCTTTTCATCTACTACAAGTGCCTAAAGCCACATCCCGCAGAAGAGCCTGGCCAACCGCACCTCGTGTCCATTAAAAATAAACGCTATTATGTGCAGGTTTGTTATTGTTTGCGATATAAACTTCGTTTAGCGTTCAAAATTCCAGCGGTCCATGATTAAGGTTAGTAACCTAGAGTTGTGTAGAGTTAATTAGTGCTAGGGTTATGGGCTAGGATTAGTGTATGGGTTAACGCGATCGAAAACTCATCTATTTTTAGCAAACGACGATAAACGCGCGCGTGCACGTCGTCACGATCTACAATTCTAAAACGAATAATAGCATGTGCCTTGCACAGCTGGCTGCGTACATTGCCGTTCATCCAAATTATGTCCAACTCTGCGGCGGCTTCTCAGAGCCAAGTTCACCTTCGATCTCAAGGCTCAACGCATACAACACCCGATGTCACGCGTCTACTTGTAAATTGTCGTGTCAAACTGCATTCATCAATATTTCACCGGGAATATTTCGGACTGTTGTATAAGACAGTCCGTATATAATATTGGATATTATACTGGTTGCATATACTGGACTGTATATAAATACTGGTTCGTTGTCATTCTCAAGGATATCGGCATAGACAATCCGGCGAGAGATGTCGAAAACCAGCTTGTGCCTCGATCACCGCCGCAGCTACGCAGTAGGGCGCACTACGACGTATCGGCTACTCCTGTCCTATCGGGAAAGATCGCCAAAAACTACATAGATGGCGTGCGTCTTGGGTATGTAGAACTGTGAACGATGTGTCTACGTCAATTTGTTTACAGCGTACAATTATACGTCACTGTTGACGACAGCCTTACAGTATAGGTCACGATGAGAAAGCGCGCGCACTGTGTGGCCGTGCGCGTGTGCGTGTGCGTGCGTGCGCGCATGTGTGTGAGTTCATCACATACAAACTGAAAATGATTGAACCCATATTACCGCGTTTATTTCGTGAAAATGTGTATGTGTTGGCAGCAGTACTTCAAACAATATTCAACAATTAAAACCATTGAAACAAAATATATTGAAAATAATTAAAAACTATTGAAACAAAATATTCAACAACACTCAACAGAATGCACTCGGCATATACGATTTAGATACCGATCAAAAATAATCATGTCACACAGTTCACCTGCTTCACTCACAACATGGAATCTATATGAGTAATGCGCACTGTGGTACCTTTGTAAGAAATCTTATAAATAGTTATATAATCGTGTCTGAAAATGTCATTAAAAATGTTGTGCAAAGGTTACTGGCCTTTTAGACATATGATGTGATCACAGTCATCATGAGCCATTGCAGCAAGGCAGTATATAGCGAAACATTATAGTTTACACGATAGTGTTCTTGCCCCTACAGCCTTTCAGAGAAGGAACATATTATTGACTCCGCCTACGATGATGCCGGCACCTCTGGAGACACCAGCTCCGAACATCACGAGACAAAGCCAACAGCGACTTCCGAGGTATGTTCAGTTCGTAGGTGGGTATCATTGAGGTGAAAATATTAGCAATAAGAAAACCGTTGATAAAATGTCGCCCGCCACTAATATGTTTTACGTTCGTACACAGATTACACATGAAGTGGACAAAAGTGAAGGAGAAAATGAAGAAGGTGAGGCCCAGTTTCATAAATTAATTAAGTAAAGTTATATATTATAGTATTTATATATATATTATATTATAGTATATATATTATGTATAGAGAGATGAGAGAGAGAGAGAGAGAGAGAGAGAGAGAGAGAGAGAGAGAGACGAGAGAGAGAGAGAGAGTCGAGGGCGGCGCGGTTCGAGAGAGATAGAGAAGGCGTGTTGATGTGTGAAACGTCAAGACATTAATCAGGCAATACATGAAGATCGGAAAGAAAGTTGAAAGAGGCACCATACTACAAAAAAGGTTTCGCGATGGCTGCTAAAATTGAATATTAATTGTCACATTTTCCTCAAACGTTACAGATTGGCATACACGCGCGAAGACATAAGATTGGGAGTAGATCGTGAGGCATATGACAGCACAGGAAACCGGCGCGAATTGCACCAAGACTGAGCACGTGCGCGCGACGCATTGCTGCTGGAGTTCACCCCCGATCGCTATCCCACTCACGAGCACAAGCACTAGAGAATGACCTGAGATATAAAGAGGACGTCGAGTATCGTTACTACTAAATGCATTTGTAATGCAATAAAAACCCGAATAATAATATATCCACACGTTTCTACTGCGAATAGATTTTCCTGCAATCACTGACAAATCGTTAACACGATGGCGTCACAAGCAAGCACTTGTCGACAAAACTAAGATTCGTGAGAAATTCATTCAACACCCGCAGTTACCATGAAATTGCGCGTGTAAACTTAAAATCTTTTCCGCGACTGCTGTCCAAAAACGTCCATTTCTACGTTTGACGCACAATGTCTGTTTTTAGCGCAACACCAATGGATGATTTATTTCTCACTACTATCTTTAATTTTTCCAATGCGAATGCATTCCTGCAGGAAAAGGTTGAGTCTCGAGAAAACGTGGCGGGGATAAACACAACTAGAAGAGAAAATTAACGAAAGGAGCAGCTGTCGCATCGCAGCCGACTGTTTGGCATGGCTCCCCAGTCCCAGTGTAGGCCTCGACAACCAGAAAACAAGAATAGAACACAGACGACCATACTCATCATCGGAGCATTCACAGAACCAACACGCTCTCTGTTTCCCCACCTCTTGACTGCGGTAAGTCATCCCATCCGTCGACTACTTATTAAACGGCGCATAACATCACCGATTCTAGTTAAAAACTCAATTTTCCCCCCTTGTCAGACAATAGCCTTCTAAGTCACATTTTAATAATATAAATATGATAAAATATAAATAAAACAAAGAATGAAACAATAAAAATGTAAATATATAAGATGACGCTCGCACGTTATAGTCTTGCCCAAAGGTTGGTACTATGTTGTGTGTTATATAATTATATATATATATAGATATATAATATATATATATAATATATTAATGCTTGTGTATTTGTTTAGCTAGCCGGACATAATCTACACCGAAGACTTGTGCGCAGATCATTAGAAATCTGTAAATGATGCCTCTTTCATAGGAAGCGAACGACTTGCTAGAGAGGCCTTTTCTCTCACCTAACTTCAAAATACAAACGCAGGTCTGTAACGTTCGCGTATTAATGTAATACCCGTGCTGTAAATAGCCAACAGTCTGCTAGCATCTATGACAAATACGACATACGCATATACGCTCTGCTATATGACACTATTTGTCATAGGAAGATTCTTCTTATGACAAATATTGGCGAGTCAACTTCGTTCCGCTTTACATTTGAAATTCACTGATTGCGTTCATAATAGCGCTCCTAAACTCATATGATGCGCACAACACATACAACAATATTTGTCATAGGAAGAATCTACCTGTGACAAATAGTGTCATATAGCAGAGCGTATATGCGTATGTCGTATTTGTCATAGATGCTAGCAGAACAGGCTGAAATAGCTTTAGTCTTTATAGTTTTTGGTTAACCGCCTAATCGAGGTTTTAAACTGGTTTTCCTGATCAGGGAACGAATCTTTGTTTTTTTATACAAAAATGAGTTGACCAGTAATTATCCAGTAATGATGAAACATGTCGCTAACATTTTGCTTACCAATCAGACTTACTGCGATTATTCTCTGATTCTGGCAGAAACAAAGTAGATCCAATACAGGTGCACGGTAGCACTGGGGAATCTCCTGGTATGTCCTCTTCGCTTGAAAGTGACCTAGAAAACCACCAGTTGTTTACGAGGAGAAAGCCGCCACCAGTTCCCCACAGAGCAGGTATTCATACTGAGAGGGGTAGATAATGGCAAATCTATGACAATATAACAAATATGAAAAATATGACAAATATAGCAATATAACAAATATGACAAATAATGACAAATCAATGTCAATTGATAATGACAGTAATGTCATTATCTACGCCTGATACTGAGGGGTTTCCGTTGACCCGTGTGTTCTGATGAATATGTATATGTGCGTGTGCTATGAGCGTGCGTGCGTTGCATACGTACGTGCAAGGTGCGCGTGTGCGCGCGTGCCTGTCCTGTGGCGTGAGTGTGTGCGCACGTGCGCTCGTGTGCGTGCATGTGAGTGATTTATTATATTAATTACATTTATATCTAACTAACAAGAACCGCGAAGGTGTGTCATACATGCATTGATTACTGCACGAACGCGCTCAGTGTTCCACACTCAATCATCAGTATCGAGCTGCTGCTAACTGTTATTATATGATGATGATCTTACAGATCTTCGCCATGCACTGACGGTGGGTGCAGGCCCGCAGCCGACCCGCAGCTCAGCAGCCGACGGTCTGCGCAACCCTTACCACGCGGGCGACGAGATACACCGGCTGGCTCTACCTGAGGCTAGACAGCAGCAGCAGCAGCAGCAGCAGCAGCAGCAGCAGCAGCACAAATACGTACGTGTGGCAATGGTATTCATAATCCGATATTCGCATTCATACAATACGGGCGTCTACAGTAGAAACACCCCAGCGCTATCGAGTTTCCGTCGACCCAATCGCACGTAGTATTTGATCTGTTTTTACACTGAGTCTAGTAGATATGTATATGAATACACACACGCACGCACGCACGCACGCACGCACGCACGCACGGACGCACGCACGCACACACACACGCACGCACGCACGCACGCACATACGCACGCACGCATGTACGCACGCACGCACGCACGCACACACATACACACACACACACACATATATACAGCTGCGAAAATGTGGTGTAGTATATTATTGCTTTCCGTACTAGAATCGAAATCTATACTCACCTGCGCGTGCTATGATCAGCACACAATGCTTTTCCTGTTGCAGGCGCCCTTACCTCCGGGCATGGTCGCTGACGACACCCCCCCTCCCCCACCGCGCGTCGTGTCTGCCCCTGCGAGGCAACGCGAGGTGACATTCTCTACTAGCATGTTTACCGGCGGCGAGCACGCACAGCTGACGGGCGGTAGAAGCTACGGCGTCGTTCCCTCCGTACATCAACCCGGTCACGAGTCGGCAGCAAAGTCAGTCTGCACGCCGGACAGCGACAACAACGCGACGTCGGCGCAGCGCCGACCGGCCGGGTTGTCGCTCGTACTGGGACAGGACAGCTCCTCGTCGCTGAAGTACATAACAGGCGACGACGTCGTCGGCAGACGCGTGCCAACGCCGCCGTGCACGTCCGCGACGCAAGCGGGCAGTGGTAGCGCGCCTACACTGCAAGTCACATCTCCGTGCACGCAGCATGCGCGGCGGAACGACGACTGGACGTACAGTCAGGCCGACAGCCGACCAGGCTCGGCCGCCATTTGCAAGGGACCGGCCGACGAAGTAAGCTCGCGCACGTCGGCGTCGGCTCACGATCGGGAGCAGTATGTCATGACTCCTGAATACGACGAGGTGGATGCAGCAATGAGAGCGAGGATGAAGCCCCGTGTGATAGTACAGGCAATCAAAGATGAGTTAGCAAGGCTGTCAGGGTCTGGATCTGCAAGATCGCAGAGCAGCAACTGAGAGAAAGAGGGGGAGAGAGAGAGAGAGAGAGAGAGAGAGAGAGAGAGAGAGAG